GTGGGTCACTCTGGGGGGTAGTGTGTACCCTGGGGTCACTGAGAGCGTAATTGCTTTTTTGGGTTAATGGGTGTCACAGAGATATACAGCAGGGAAACAGACCCTTTGGCCCGACTCGTCCATGCCGACCCATATATCCTAAATTAATCCAGTCCCATTTGGCCCAAATCCCTCGAAACCCTTCCTATCCATGTCCCCATCCAGATGTCTTTTAAATGTTGTAACTGTACCAGCACCCCACCCAGTTCCTCTGGCAGCTCATTCCATACACGCACCACCCTCTGTGTGAAAAAATTACCCCCTCAAGTCCCTTTTAAATCTTACCCCTCTCACCTTCAACCTATGCCCCTCTAGTTTTGGACTCCCCTACTCCTGGGGGAAAGGCCTTTACTGTTCAGCCTATCCATGCCCCTTATAAACCTCTATAAGGTCACCCCTCAGTGTCTGACGCTCCAGGGGAAATAGCCCCAGCCTGCTCAGCCTCTCCCTGTAGCTCAAACCCTCCAACCTGGCAACGTCCTTGTAAATCCTTTCTGAATCCTTTCAAGCTTCACAACTTCCTTCCTATAGCAGGGAGACCAGGATTGAACGCAGTATTCCAAAAGCGGCCCTAACCAATGTCCTGTACAGCTGCAACATGATCCTCCCGACTCCTGTACTCAATGCACTGACCAATAAAAGCAAGCGTACCAAACACCACCTTCTCCGCCCTGTCTACCTGTGACTCCACTTTCAAGGAACTATGTACCTGCACTCTGAGTTCTCTCTGTTCAGCAATACTCTCCCCAGGACCTTACTATTAAGGTGTATAAGTCCTGCCTGATTCCAAAATGCAGCACTTCACATTTATCTAAATTAAACTCCATCTGCCCCTCCTCGGCCCATCTGATTGAGGTCCCGTTGTACTCTGAGGGAACCCCCTTCCCTGTCCACTCCAGCTCTGATTTTGGTGTCATCTGAAAACTTACGAACCATACCTCTTACGTTCACATCCAAACCGTTTCTATAAATGGCAAAATGCAGTGGACCCAGCGCCGATGCTTGTGGCACACCGCTGATCACAGGCCTCCAGTCTGAAAAGCAACCCTCCACCACCCACCCTCTGTCTCCTACCTTCAAGCCAGTTCTGTATCCAAATGGCTAGCTCTCCCTGGATTGCACGTGATCGAACCTCGCTAACCAGTCAACCATGGGGAACTTTGTTGAACCTCTTACTGAAGTCCATACAGATCACATCCACTGCTCTATCCTCATCAAACCTCTTTGCTAATTCTTCAAAAAAACTCCATCACATTAGTGAGACACCATTCCCTAAGCACAGAGCCATGTTGACTATCCCTAATCAGTCCTTGCCTTTCCAAATAGAAGAAAATCCTGTCCCTCAGGGTTCCCTCCAACAACTTGCCCGCCATCGATGTCAGGCTCACCGGTCTACAGTTCCCTGGCTTTTCCTTACCACCTTTCTTAAATAGTGGCACCACGTTAGCCAACCTGCAGTCTTCCGGTACCTCGCCTGTGGCTATTGATGGCACAAATATCTTAGCGAGGGGGCCCAGCAATCTCTTCCCTGGCTTCCCACAGAGTTCTAGGGTACACCTGATCAGGGATTTATCCAGCCTTTATGCGTTTTAGGACATCCAGCACCACCCCCTCTGTAACATGGACATTTTTCAAGGTGTTGCTGTTTATTTCCCCATGTTCTCTTATATTCCGTATCCTTCTCCACAGTAAACGCTGATGCAAAATTTAGTGTCTCCCCCGTCCCTATCTCCTGCGGTTCCATACGTGGGCAGTTTTGCCGATCCTCAAGGGGCTCCTGTTCTCTCCCAAGTTACCCTTTTGCCCTTGTGTTGCGGAGGCTCGGAGACCGCTTTGCGGAGCACCTGCGCTCGGTTCGCGACAAACGACGACACCTCCCCAGTCGTGAACCATTTCAGCTCTCTCCCTCTCCCTGTCCCTGGACGACGTGTCCATCCTGGGCCTCCTCCTGTGTCACAACGACGCCGCCCGGGAAACTGGAGGAGCAGCACCTCATGTTCCGCCTTGGGACCCTACAACCCGATGGTCTCGATGCACACTTTACTAGTTGCAAATTCTCCCCACCCTCTCGTCCCCCCCTCCTTGCCCAGACACAACCTGCCTGTCTTCTCTCCCACCTGTCCGCCCCACTGACCAATCCCCCTCCCTGCACTCACCTATCACCATCCCATCTACCTTCCCCAGCCCCCTCCCCTCTCTATTTATTTCCCAGGTCCCTTCCCCCCCCCTCCCCCCTTTCTGAAGAAGAGTCCTGACCCGAAACATCAGCTTTCCTGCTCCTCTGATGCCGCCTGGCCTGCTGTGTTCCTCCAGCTCCCACACGCTGTGTTGTCTCTGTATTCTCCTTCACCCTGTTTGCCAAAGCTATCCCATGCTCGACCCCCTCCCTTTTTTTGCTTAGCTGATTACCCTCCTGAGTATACTGCTACTGCCTTGATACTCCTGTAGGGATTCACTTGATCCCTGCAGTCAATGCCTGATGTGCGTTCCCACCTTTTTTTTTCCTGACCAAAGCCTCGATTCCTCCAGGCATTCCCTTCGTTCTCCAGCCTTGCGGGAACGTGGTGTCTCCAGATTCCCATTATCTCATTTTCGAAGGCTTCCCACTTTCGAGCCGTCCCTTCCCTCTGTCTACCTGCGAACATCCATTACCCCCCTCCTCCCCCCAACCTCGCCAGTCAACTATGTCACTCCTAATGCAACCTGGGGGTCGCTCTGCTCCTGTTCCGTCAGGTATCGCAAGATGAAGGAGAGACTGGGCCTGACAGAGATCCGAAAACAGGCCAACCGCATGTGCTTTGGAGAGGTGAGGATGGGTCTGTGGGGGGAGGGGGTGGGGGTGATGTGGAGGTGGTGAGGGGCGCGGGGGAGGAGGGGGAGGGGGACAAGGTGTAAATGTGTGTACGAAATGGTTCGACCGTCGCTCCTATCAACTCTACAGTCAGCTGAAAGTGTTCTTCATCCTGACAGTGAGAGAGTAATAGCCCCCGCATGGGGACAGTGACGTTTTGGGGTCATGGGGTTGTCTTGTGGCCTGGATGGGGGTGACGTCCTGCTGTTGGGGACGGAGGTGGGGGTGGGTTGATGGGTGGGAGGTGTTGGGGGTGTGTGGGGTCGGTTGCGAAGGCAGAGGGCCTACTGCTCGAACACGTTCCTCTCTTCCCTAATGCAGATCGAAGAGGATGCCTATCAGGAAGATCTGGGCTTCAGCCTGGGGACGCTGGGCAAATCGGGCAGTGGTAGAGTGAGGGCGGCACAAGCCAACGAAGTGACCAAGGCCAGAATCTCCAAATCACTGCAGGTTAGACCGCTGTTCGTCCCCTCACTCACAGGCCTCATCGGTGTGGATGTATGGTACTCTACAAATCCCCTCCCTCCCTATCTCCGTCACCTCCTCCAGCCCCCTACA